TGACCTCATCCTAGGAATGGCATGGTTGGAACACCATGAGCCATGGATTGATTGGAGGGCAAAGACCTTGGGCGCGACGCGCACGTCTCCTGGTGGAGCTTTGGCAAGTCATGAACCCACCTCTGCTGGGAGACAAAAGCGCTATTGGCGAGAGCACTGAACCGTGACGGTCAACGTGCTGGACATTGGAATGTCCGAGTTTGTAGACACCAACGGTGTATTGGACAGGAGTCACGAGCGTGGCTCGCGGGCTGATCGTGGAGTGACGTAAACCACTGAGCGCTGCCCAAATTTTGGAGCAGTCGCTGCATGTCATGCGTGACATGATCGGCCTAGGGCTGAGACTTCAAGGGCGAGGCCCCCGTGATGCAGTGAAGTGGCACGTAAAGCGCTGAACGCTCCTAGAGTGTCGAAGAGGTCGCTGCATGTCATGCGTTACATGGTCGGCCACGGGTCGAGGCATCGAGGGCGAGACCCCTGTGATGTGCGTGAAGTGGCACGTAAACCACTGGACACTGCTTTCGTTGCGAAGCAGTCGCTGCATGCTATTAATGGCGTGGTCGGACAGAGTCCGAGGCATTTTGGGCACGGCCCTTCAGATGCGCGTGGGGTGGTGCGTTATCCACTGGACGAAGACTGCGGGGTTAGCAGCTCTTCATCGGATGTTGTAGATAATGGGGCGGACAGTCAGGGTGACACCGGACGACGCGGAGTGCGTGTTCACCCTGGTCTTACCGAGACATGAAAACTCTGTACAGAGGCTACGGCTACGCCGTATGCTGGCTGCAAGATGCCGGGCATCAACCCAGATCCAGGGTGTGTCTGCCGTAGACGATGGTGCACAGTTATAGATCCTCGTCAACGGTGTGACGGGGGAGGAAGATGGCGACGTCCGCCTCGAGGCTGTGCCTGCAGTATATGCTCTTCTTGAATGTCCCTTGAAGAGTTCGGCAGTGCCTTGAAGGCAGGCATTCGGACGAAGTGGTCATTGTACGACCGGCAAGGAGATAAACTAGTCATCGTTTCTGGATGAAGCTGTCTTAGAAGACACCAAGAGAGTGCTGAATGCACGAAGTGGATCGTTGATCCTACGGAATTCCTTGAATCCGTACTATCCTTCGGTAAAGGAAGTTCAAGACGTCGTCTCCAAAGACCCGTCTTCAGTCCTACCTCCGGACTGAGGTGTGCGTCATGAGATCGACCTGGAACCGTGAACCAAATACTGCGTGACACGTCAGTGGCCCCTGCCCAAGAAGCAGTGCGACGTCATTGACGACTTCTTCCGTGCAAAGCACGACGCAGGAATGGTACGTGAGAGCAAGCCTCCCCATTCGATACCACATTTGTATTCGGAAGCCGAACGGCAAGTAGCAAATCGTTCATATTTACAATAGCTAGATGCTGTCATCATTCTGGCACAGACGCCGAATCCTCGAAAGGAAGTTTTTCAGAACAACATGATGGGGTGTAA